AATTATACCCACATGGAACAGAAAAGGAAGTGTGAGCCCCAACTTCCCCAGGAGACCATCTTCACGAAGTCTTGTGATTGGCCAAGCCTGAGTCTAACAGAAGCCCTCAGAGCAGCAGGCTCCCAGTAACTCCCTAAGTAACTTACTCTGTCAAGAAGCAACTGGCCAGGTTTGACGTTAGATGAAACAAACAAACAAACAAACAAAAAATGTTCTACTAAAAATGAATTTAAAGTGCCCTTTCTTCACCGCTGATCCCTCTGGGGGAGTTGGTGCTGTTACCACAGCTGTGCCTTCACAGCAGCTGGATTCAATTGTTGTTGGGTATTTTTTTTTTAACAGCAAGCCTGGCATCACCTCTATAGAAACTTTTGATGTGAAGATAGGTTTGTGAACTCCCATTCAGTTTGTTTCATAAAAGAATCTTGAAGCTATAAAAATAATGATCCCAACATCAAGGGTGAACTTCAAGAGCCTGTTCTACCATCAGATGTGGTTTCTCATGCCCAGTTTTGTTCAAAGTTCTTTGTTTTTTGACACAAGAAATCTTGCACCTTGTCCCTCAGACAATCACGGCAGTTGCTGCCCTCAATTTCCTGAACCCATCTCTCTGTAACTGGCTGAGCTATCTCATCACCCGCCACCTGCCTGGACTGCATGGGGGACATCCTAGGATCTCCTATCTTGCTTGCATCATCACTGGTCACCCAACTAGAGTTCCAGTGAATCGGCCAAACCTGCATCTTTCCCGTGGAGGATACTGACGTTTTAGAGCATCATAAGTTTGCATCTATTTCTAAACCTGCTTACATTTATGTATTTGTTTATGTGTTTGCGTGTGTGCAACTGCAGAAGAACACTTGCAGGTGTCAGTTCCCTCCTTCTTCTCTGTGGGTCTTGGGATTGAACTCGGGTCATCAGATTTGGCAGTAAACACCTTTACCCTCCCACCTCACTTTTGTTTTCTAGAAGAGCTGAGTGACTGTGCTGATCACTGTGCTCTCTTGTCACACCCTCTCACAGGTCTTGCTCATCTGACACTCCCACAGGGTTACACTGATCTTCAGGCTCTGGTTCAGGGCCCTTCCCAGCCTGTTCCCATCGTTTCTCCATTCTGGAATGCCGTCTTGCAAGGCTCATCAATCCCAAAGCTTACTAAGCCTTCTAAGTCTGCCAGTGAGGTGTATTACGAGCGCTTTTCTGCCAGCCTGGTCCCACAGCAAGATCAGCCCCAAATAACACACAGAGACGCTGTTTTAGATATAAAGCTGTTGGCCTGTTACTAGCGTTTCCTATTGGCTAGTTCTGTCTTAAATATTAACCCTTTTCTATCAATCTAAGTGTTTCCACATGGTCTTACTGGAGAGAGAGAGTCCTGGCCTATTATCCTCTCTACTGCATCCCCAGAATCCTCCTTGTCTCCTAGTTTTGCTTATCTTGCTTTCCTATTGGCCAACAGGGCTCTGTTCATTAAACAATAAGAGAATCATATACACAGAATGACATCTCCCATCAGAGATGGCTGCAGAGCACCAGCATAGAAGCTTGCTGATAGCCCGCCTTGCGTTCCTGGTCTCCCTTACACCTGGCCCGGTCCCCCTGCTTCTGTAAATGCTCCTCTGTCACAGCAGAGTGACTAATTCTTACTGATTCTCCTTGGCTGTGAAGAGCAGCCTGGATGCCACTTACGTCACTAGCACACTGGGGCTCGTGCCCACTCAAACGGACAGGACGTTTTGTTGTTTATTCTCCACCATGATCTACCGATAGCGATCATAAGGCTGTGAGTATGTGTGTGTGTGTAGAACTCACAACTATCTTCCTGGCTTACTTAAGTGCTTGGGTTACAGGCATGAGTCACCAAACCCAGCAAAAACCTAGTGTGTTTTTTTTTTTTTTTTAAGTGCTTCAACCCAGATCCTAGAGTGTATGCAAGAATTCTTAATGATTGACTCAGTTATGAGACTGGCAAATGAATAAATGAATGTTCCATTGAAAGCAAGCTCCTTAGTCATGGTGTTTACAGCCTGTTGTTCAGACAGGAGCCTCCCTTCTCTTCAAATGTTTGCTTTTGCTCTGAATGTATAAGGGCAGGCTGAAGCAGCTACTGCTTCATTGGAACCGAGGAAAAGTTGCTCTGGAGAAGTAGGGAAGGCCAATGTTTCTAAAACCCCAGAGAAGATGAGGACTGAAGAAAGTCATCAAACAGGGTGAAGTCCAAGGCCACACCCAGCTCTTACCTTCCAGGAGAACTGTGTGACCAAGTGACTGACCAGGTCCAGGGCAGGACTGCAGACAAACACTAGCTCGTGTCTGTTAGACAGTTTTACTTTTTTTGTAGTTAGTCTTAACTACATGGCACACAATGGTCATCGAAATACTAGGCAGGCTGAGACAGCCTAGGCTGTTACATACCCAGCTTTTAAAAAGCCTCAGTAAAAACGAAGAAACAAAAATAAAATTACCAATCAAATAACAGTGTTATTTCAGTTTTTTTATATACTATTAAATATGTGACTTGAAGTCTGTGTATAAATTGTATGCATATGACTGTGTTCAATTTATGTGTTGTAACTTATAAGACTTTTCAGATGTTTCTTCTCCAGTACTTGATTTGTAAAAGTTTGGTTTTAGTATTTATTTTTACTTTATACATGGGTGCTTGAACAATGTCTGTGGACCAGGTATATGCAGTCCATGAGGAAGCCAGGAGAGGGCATCAGGCCCCCTTGCATGGGAGTTTCCCAACAAGTGTAAACCTCCAAGTGGGTGATAGGAACAAATGTATGCTTTTAACCCCCAACCTATCTCTCTGGCCTCTAAGAGTTGTTTTTATATAAATACTCTTGTCATAAATATTGCAAATATTCACGCAGATTGCAATTGTGTTGGTCTAAGGAAGGGATAGGGGTATTCGCCCAGAAAGTTAGCCTGCTCTCTAGCCTAGACTCCCACTGCACATGCTACTTTCCCTTGGTATCTTCCCGGGTTTCCTCTTCCCTGGCAGCTGACATGTGACTACACTTTTATTTCTGGGCTAAAATTGTATAGCTAGCTAGTGTTCATTTCTGAGCAGATCGCACAATGTAGAGAAAGATCTGTGTTTGACTTTTCACCGAATGGCACTGGTCCCTAGGTACCACGAAGGGAAGTGCAGGAAGTCCTGAGAGGATGTACCAGCAGCAGATGGAGTGAATGTGCGTTGTTGACTTAGGCGCAACCATGTCAAGGGCCCTGATGCCACAGACCTATGGCAAAGGAAAGTCTCTGAGGCTCAGAGAGAAATGACAAAGCCCTCTTCTGCCAAGTGTAAAAGCTGACAGTGTGTGCAAAATCTATCAACTATAGCTTCCTCCTCCAAGATGACTACAGCCCGAAACTGCTTCCCTGCAGAGCCCTGCTGCCCAAGAGTGACTAAGCCCATCTTCTGGTTCATCTGTGTATGATGAGCCTGCCTCTTATTCAGCTGCACACTGATTTGGATTTCAGATGTGTAAGATAAACATTCTGAGTTTCCAAGTTGCTATTGTAGTAGGTGCTACTCCACCAAAGTGAGCACAGCCCACGTGATCTCAGACTTTCTGTACATGTGTCTGTGTATCTGTCAATTTCCTCAATAACTGAGGAAGGTTTCCAGGACCAAGCCATCCTAGACTTGTTAGTGTGGGACCACTTTCCTTAGCTGACCTTCCTCATATAAAACGGTGTGGTTTGCATACATCCTACACACAGCACCTGGTATATTTAAATCACCTGTACATTGTTTATACAATTGGCCTTTTGATTATTACAGCATTGTTTAAGGAGGGAAATCTGCATGTTTTCCACACAATGCATTTATTTTTTAGTATCTCCAATCTGCTGTTGATAGAATGTTTCAAAGTCATTCTGTCAACAAATATCCCTAGGTGTCTGCCTTCCAGATTCTTAGTCGGGTTGCAACCTTTACTCTTAAGGTTGGTTAAAACAGTGTTTTGACAACTTCTTAGTATGTGAGCCATTAGTGCCTTTTGTTCCAGGATGTTTAATTGCTAATGTGACTTCTACAAGTCTCTTTTATGTTGTATAATTATTGATAGTGTTCAAAATGGTGGTTTCCCCTTTGATTATCTGAGTGTCCAAGACAAACAAAACTCTCATCCAGGTGACCTACTCCTGCAGCGCCAGGATTTGGGAGGCTGAGGCAGGAAGGTTGTTCTGAGTTAGAGACCAGCCTGAGATATGGAGTACCAGACCAACATGGGCTAAAGGAGACCCTGTCTCAAACAAAACAAACAAAAAAATCAAAACAATAACAAAATAGCCCCAAAACCTCCAAAAGTAAAATGAATAAAAAATCAAAAAACAAATAACAACAAAAAACAGACCTTTCCTGTTCCGTCCTTATTGACATGCAGTATAAGCAACAAATAATTTCCATCTGGGATGAAGTCTAGGCCTGGAACACAGTATACAGGCCAGGCTGTCCTTGAGCATGTGTTAATTCTCCTATCTCGGCTCCACGAGATTACAGCTCAAATAAACATTTATATCAGTAAGTTATTGGTTCTCAGCTTTCCTATTGCCACAGCTCCTCATGTTATAGTGACCTCCAACTATAACGTTATTCACATTGATACTTCATAAGTGTACTTTTGCTATTATGAATTGTAATGTAAACACCTGTGTTTGTCATTGCCCTTAGGTGGCTCCTGTGAGTCATTTGACCCCAAAGGGATCGTGACCCTTCGAGAATCAGGGCTGGAAAGCACTGGAATTTCAGGGTTGTTTGTTTCACAAGTATAACCTAGCCTATCCTGAACTGAAACACTTTTACAGTCTCTGTTGGAGCTTTTCTGTTTTTTTTTTTTTTTATTTGATTTCCTTGTCAGCAACTGTACTCACATTAGTTTTATAGATGACACATTCTTTCATATTAGCTATAGTAACTATAGAGAAATATGATAATTTTAGAAAACAACTCCATATTTGACTCTATGCTAACTTTATTTTCCAGGTAATCTGGACCTGACAAAATGTTTGCCAAAGCGACTCGGAATTTCCTTAAGGAGGTTGATGCTGGAGGGGACCTGATCTCAGTCTCACACCTGAATGACTCTGATAAGCTGCAGCTCCTGAGTCTGGTGACCAAGAAGAAGAGGTATTGGTGCTGGCAGAGACCCAAGTACCAGTTTCTGTCTGTCACCCTGGGAGACGTCCTCTCAGAGGGCCAATGGGTCAGTCCAGGTATGTTTCCATGTGCAGATACAGTGACTAGTCCCAAACAGAGTTCTAGGCATCTGGAATGGAGGTGGTGTCTTACACTGAGTTCTTTCCTTGTCCTTGGTTCTCTGGTGGTAAACAGATAAAGGGTTTTTTCTTTCTTCCTTTCTTCCTTCTTTTCTTCCTTCCTTTTTCCTTCCTTTCTTCATTTTTCTTCCTTCCTCTCTCCCTCTCTCTTCCTTCCTCCCTCTCTTTCTTTCTTTCTTCCTTAATTTCTTCCTTCTTTCTTTCTTTCCGCTCTCTTTCTTTCTTTCTTTTTTTTCTATTGAGACCTGTCCTGGAACTCACTCTGTAGACCAGGCTGACCTCCAACTCATAGAGATTCGCCTGTCTCTGCCTCTGTCTCCCAAGTGCTAGGATTAAAGGCGTGAGCCACCACCACCTGGCAAGAATATCTATTCTTAATGAGCCCAATTATGCACTCCTAAAATGAAATGTTATAACTTAGTGTTGTAAAGGTGATAGTCAGTTTGGGTGTAGAATTACGTTGTATCCATCATGAATGTTACAGCCACTTGGCTTCCCTATACATCATTTGGTTTAGTATCGAGACTAAAAATGCTGTAGACTGATCAGAGGGGCAGCAACAGTTCTGTTTCTTACATAATAACTTCTGAGCGGAGCAGGGCAGTCTCCCACGATGGTCTGTAGAGGGCTTGCTAAAGAGACTGGCTTGGCATTAATTGTGGCAACTGGTAAAGTCCCTGCGTAGATATTGGGGCTCTGGTTTACTTTTCATTGGCTCCAGTGCGAGGGGAACCTGGGCTGGTGCTGTTTTACTTTTTGTGTGTCTATCTGCACCCCCTCCTGTGTGTGTATGAGAGAGAGAGAGAGAAAGAGAGAGAGAGACAGACAGACAGACAGATCCAGAGCTAGTGTGAGGAGTGAAGGTTAGAAGCCGGTCTTGGGTGTCCGTCCTTATCCTCTTGTTTGAGACCAGGCCTCTAGCCTTCCGGCCACCTTGTATACCAGTCTGATGTTGGGTGGCCCAAGAGCTTCTGGGGATTCATTATCTGGTTCTCATCTCACTGCAGGCACACTAAATCTAAATTTATAAGTTCCAGGGATTTGATCTCTGGGTCTCATGTTTGTGTGGTGAGTGCTTTTACTGACTGAGCCATCTCTTCAGCCCCATCTGGGCTTCTAATCAGTTTGTACAGATGTGTAATAGAGAAAAAAGGGGGACTGCAGATAGGCTGGACATTTGTCAGTAGGCAGAGAACACAGGATTGTCTGTGGTACCCTCATCCAGTTTCTACCACATAACTAACCTTTGGTCAATGACAGACTGTGTTTATGTTGGGATTCCTTACGATTACATCTGCTAGTGAGGTCTGCGCTATAAGCTGTCTCCACGATGATGAAATCGCCCACAGATGCTTCTCTGACAACTTGACCCTGTTGATAAGCAACACATGGCAATGTTTATAAACTATGCAAAGAGATGAAAGAAAAACTTCATAATATAACATCACATGTCAATGTCCATTAATAATTAGGGTGTGGTCTTTTTTTAAAACCTCATCTAATGAAAAAAAATTGTGTGTGTGTGCGCGTGCGTGCGTGCCCACGCGCGCGCACATGTGGAAGCCAGTCAATAGCAGGCGTCTTCTGTAACTCTCTGCCTTATTGTTTTGAGCAGGGTCTCACTGGACTTGGGTCATACTAGTACAACCTGGGCTTTTCTATGATGACTGTAGATCTGAATTGAGGTCCTTCTTGCTGTGAAGCGAGCACCTGAGCCTTCTCCTCAGGCTCTATACCTAAATAGTGTTTACAAACAGAAGTAGAAGCATGCTGCATACAATTTTAATATAGTCCTCATTTTATTTATTTAATAGATACAAGTTTTCCTCTGAAAATTTAGATACGTGTAATTCTATTTCAACAAACACATAATATTTCTTTGTGTATGTATATCTTAATTTGATTAACTATTCCAATTTTATGCTTAGTAAATAAGGCCGCAGTGAACATTTTTGTTTGTGGTTTTCTTTTAGCTTGCTTTTGAAGCAATTGCATTAACATCCTTTCCAAGCTTCCTGGACCAGAGGTTGGAAACTTCCTGAAACTTGCTATTCCTTGTTATCTCACTTCCTGGGATCCAGTGATGTGTGACGGATTGACAGTTGTTAATTGTCCGATGAAACCATATATAATTTTCTCCTTCACAGTAAAGTCTTGTCATTTTGTGTTGCATGTCTACTAAAAGGAAGGGGAGCTAGAGTTACTCTCTCAGAGCTGCAGTCTCCACTCTTGCTTCCAGTGAGCCTTCCTGTCAATGCTGCCCTCAGCCAGTCATGGGGCTGCCACAGAATGGGAGGATGAATGGATCTGAATTTCATGCCATCCCCCAAATATTAGCTGCTGTTCTCATTTCTGTGACAAAATATCAGACAGGGGGCAACTCAAGAAGGAAACAGCGCATATATATATATATATATATTTTTTTTTTTTTAATTTATTTTTTATTTTACATATCAATCCCAGTTCCCCTCCCTCCCTCTCTCTCTCTCTTACCCTCTCTGCCCCCTCATATGCACCCTGACCACCCTCCCCTCCCATCCCCTGACCCCAATTCCACATGTAGGGCAATGCCATCCAGGTGGGGTCATATAAATCTGTCAAGTCATTTGAAGTAGGGACTAGGCCTTCCCTCCTGTCTCTAGATTAAGGCAGTTATCCCTCCATGGGGGATGTGTCCTCAAGGTCCTTTTGTGCACCAGGAATACATCCTGGTTCCACTGTCTGAGGTCCCTTAGACTGCTCAGTCCTTCTGGCTGAGACCCCTGTTCAGGGGATCTGAGTCAGTCCCATGCTGGATTCCCAGCTATCAGTCTGGGGGCCCGTTAGCTCCTCCTTGTTCAGGTCAGCTGTCTCTATGTGTTTCTGCAACCTAGTCTTGTCCTCTCCCTCTGCATCTGGATTCCAGTTTGACTCAGTGTTTAGTTATGGGTGTTTGCTTCTGTTTCCAACAGGCATTAGATGAGGGCTCCATGATGGTGGATAAGTTAGTTGTTGATCTCACTATCCGGGAGGGGCATTTATGGTAGCCTTTCCACAGCTGCTCAAATTGTTAGTTGGTGGCAGTCCTATAAGTCTCTAGACCTTTCTTTAGGTTCAGTTTTCTCTTCAAACCAATAATGGCTTCCTCTTTTATGTTCTCTCTCTCTCTCTCTCTCTCTCTCTCTCTCTCTCTCTCTCTGTCTGTCTTCTATTCTTACCCTGACTCAATCTTCCTAGTCGCATGTGTTTTCCTCTCCTCTCCCTCGCTTTCTCCTACTTCTCTCTCCATTCACTGCCCCCTCCACTTCCCATGAGCTCTGGGGGACTTGTCCCTTCTCCCTTCTGTGAGGGACTTTATATGAATCTCTTAGAATTCACCTTGTATCCTAGTTCCTCTGGTGGTGTGAATTATAGGCTGGTGATCCTTTGCTCTAGGTCTAAAAATCCATATATGAGCAAGTATATACCATGTTCCTCTTTTTTGTGACTGGGTTACCTCATTCAGGATGGTTTCTTCAAGTGCCATCCACTTGCCTGCCAATTTCAAGATTCCATTATTTTTTTCTGCAGAGTAGTATTCCATTGTGTAGATGTGCCACATCTTCTTTATCCATTCTTCAATTGAGGGGCATCTAGGTTGCTTCCAGGTGCTTGCTATAGTTGAGCACATGTCTTTTTTGTATGGATGTGGATCATTGGGTATATGCCTAAGAGGGGGATTGCCAGGTCCTGTGGTAAACTAATTTCCATTTTCCTGAGGAACTGCCATACTGATCTCCAAAATGGCTGTATGAGTTTGCACTCCCACCAGCAGTGGAGGAGTGTTCCCCTTTCTCCACATCCTCTCCAGCATAAGTTGTCATTGGTGTTTCTATTTTTAGCCATTCTGGCAGGAGTAAGATGGTATCTCAAAGTTGTTTTGATTTGCATTTCCCTGATAGCTAAGGATGTAGAGCACTTTCTTAAGTGTCTTTCAGCCTTTTTGATTTCCTCTATTGAGAATTCTTTCTTCAGTTCTGTACCCCATTTTTTAATAGGGTTATTTGGTGTTTTGTTGACTAGTTTCTTGAGTACTTTGTATATTTTGGAAATCAGCCCTTTGTCAGATGTAGGATTGGTGAAAATCTTTTCCCAGTCTGTGGGCTGCCATTTGGTCTTGTCCACTGTGTCCTTTGCCTTACAGAAGCTTCTAATTTTCAGGGGGTCCCATTTATTAATAGTTGATCTCAGTGTCTGTGCTCCTGGAGTTATGTTCAAGAAGCGGTCTCCTATACCAATTTACTCAAGGGTACCTCCTGCTTTCTCTTCTAAGAGGTTCAGTGTGGCTGGATTGATGTTGAGGTCTTTGATCCATTTGAACTTGAGTTTTGTGCATGGCGACAGACATGGGTCTATCTGCAGTTTTCTACATACCCTCATCCAATTGTGCCAGCACCATTTGTTGAAGATGCTGTCCTCGCCCCATTGTATTCTTTTAGCTGTTTAGTCAAAAATCAGGTGTTCAGAGGTGTATGGGTTAATATCAGGATTTTTTATTCAATTCCATTGGTCTACCTGCCTATTTTTGTGCCAATACCAGGCTGTTTTCAGAACTATAACTCTGTAATAGAGCTTAAAGTCAGGGATGGTGATGCTTCCTAAAGTTCTTTTATTGTACAGGATTGTTTTGGTTATCCTGGGTCTTTTGTTTTTCCATATAAAGTTGATTATTATCCTTTCAAGGTCAGTGAAGAATTGTGCTGGGGATTTTAATGGGGATTGCATTGAATCTGTAGATTGTTTTTGGCAAGATTGCCATTTTTACTATATTTATCCTACCTATCCAAGAACATGGGAGATCTTTCCATTTTCTGGTATCTTCTTTAATTTCTTTTTTTAGAGCCACATAGTTCTTATTATATAGGTCTTTCACTTGTTTGGTAAGCGTTCCCCAAGATACTCTATGTTGTTTGTGGCTA